GAAAGATGACCAAAACACACCAAGCCATGTGGCCCATATAGGTTTTTCTATGCAAAACCATCAAATTGATTCGTTTCATATATACTATAAATTGTATATAAATTTGTCTATTTTTTCAAACTCAATACTTCTAAGGAGCAAGTTAAAAGAAGACGTTATATATGAATTGGAGAAAAAAAGTTGGCCTTTACAAAAAGGTTACTTGCCTTATCCAGTCTTTTTAGCTTCATTAAATGAGTAGTGATTGAAAAAATCGCAAAAATCTTAACCAGCAGCTCAATATTTTATGCAAGAAGCTTGAAACTTGCTATAATGCTACCTTTCAAGTAATAGGATACGCTGATTACAAAAAATTGTATCTTTTCCTCGCTATAAGGGTTACGGTAGTTATATGCTACAGTGGACAAAATTATAAGTTGGTCTAAAATGCGGTCCAGTAGAGTTGATTGACATGCTGATCACACTAATGATGCCCACATCGCACAATAAGTACTTGTTGTTAAGTTAGGATGAATATACGATGATAAGCTCGGATTCAATAAATGAGAAGGAAATTTACAATTTCATGATAACCATGCAAAGTAGGGTAACATTTAAATTAACCTCAGCAGATCAATCTGTGGATTTGACATTTCACCGTATACCTACCGTAATCACACAGTATGGCCCTATTATGCGCTGTCAGAAGTTTCGATTTCTTATTACTTTTTTGAGTTAAAAAAAGCGGCGCGAACTTATTCAACCCAGTGCAATAATCAGCTAAGAACAGGCTAGTTTCCCGGATATTCTTGTTCAACATTCTCCAGAATAGGAAAAGGAAAAATGTGGAAGTGTTTACCCATGTTGTTTCCAGTTTTCTTCTGTGAATCGAATTCATCTATAGTGCTGTACCCATATGTGAATAAAGGTGCAGCACCAAATCCAATAAAAAGCTGAGAGACGAGCAGCAGCGGGTAGGAACTGGAAAAAAACATTTATAATTTAATTGGTGATTAGAAGAGAAATGTAAGATTCTTAAGTAAAACCTACTACATGCTAGTGGCCTGCTGAGCATCACAACTGCTATTTTCTCTATTTGCGTCACATACATCTGACTTGAGAGCTCCAACCACGTAAAGACCATCAATAAAATGTGGAAGTATGAGTAGTAAAGCTCCTAGCCCAACCATAAACATTCCATAACCAATGCAGCGAACTTTGTTTACTGGAAATAGTTAATTCACCTATGCTACGGGATAACGAAGGAAAAAAGAAGTAAATGGTCAACAAATTAACTTTTACATTTGTTTGGAAATTGAACAATCCTTTCATGAAATTAAGCTTATATGGTGAGTACAAGAATTAGCAGTCTCTGTATCGATTTATCAATTTACTCCACCAAAATGCAATAATTCTATTTTTTGTTGCTGTACTATTTTATTTAAAGAAATACACAAATTTACTTCTGCAACGTCATTGATCAATATTTTTTTGAGGTTTGGATTATGTCTCTGCAAATCTGTTCTCACCAGATTAATGGTCACTTTACACATGTATCGATCAAATATTCAATTATTGATTGGTCATTCTG